CGGGAACCCGGGGCTAGGTCCCACTTGCACGAATTAAGCGATATTGACAGTAGATAGCAAAGATCAACGGCCATAATCTCTTAATCCGTGCAAGTGGGACCTTGCCCCCGGTAATAAGCCCTGACGATTTTGGTTCATCGGTTCAAAAAAATGCCAAGAAACACAAAATTCGGTTCACGGGTCCAAAAATTTTTGTTTTTTTGGGGGGGGTTGTTGGGGGGATGGGGTCCCACTGGCGACGGGTGGGTCCAAAAAAATTGGCGAGATGGAATGCCAAAGGGACAAGCATTGCGGCAAGCAACACCAAAGTTACACCACCAGGGCCGAGGTCCCACTGGCAAAAAGGATAGGATCGAGCTCCTGAATCTGGACCTGTTTTATGCAGAGATGCAGAAAAGCAGTTCAATCTCGATTTCCTGCACATCTCCATAACCTCGTCCAGATGCAGGCATTGGATCCGATCCTCTTTGCTAGTGGGACCACGCCCCAGTACTTGGCCTAGCTATCGGCTGCGTAACAAAAAAAAAATAGAGTAGAAACGTTTCTAGCAGTCGGATGAATCTGGACGCTCCTGTAGGGGCCCGTACGTTTCCTCAAATCGTGGCTTGTTCACGTGCACGACTTTAAGAAGTTCTGGTCTTTTGTTTTCAAGGGGAAAAAAAAAAAAAAGAGCCCCAAAGGGCCAAAGGGGACCACAGATTTTTTGGGTGAGGGACGCCAGGGATGAGTGAGGTCCCACTAGCAAACAGGATTGGATTGAACGCCCGAATCTGGCCGCGTTTGTGGACGAGTGCAGAAACTCGAGATTGAACTCTTTTTCTGCATCTCTGCCTAAAACACGCCCAGATTCAGGATCTTAATCCAATCCCGGTTGCTAGTGCGACCATGCTCCAGGCCTGGTTTCCTGGCATTGTAATATACGGGACGCCAGGCCGGGATCCCAGCAACGAAAAAAACACATGAGAACGAAAAAAGAAAAGAAAGAAGAAAAGAAAAAGAAAAGGGGTAATAATGCAATCATAGTTATACATGTTTGTATGAATGGAATTACTTACAAGAATTTTGTGAGGAATAGAAGGGCAATAGTGCAATAATGCAATAGTGCAGTAGTGCAATAGTGCAATAGTGAGACTGTCAATCCATTTAGCTGCTACTATGGCTGATGATACAAGGACTCAAAGCTGTGCTCAAAGGAATTTCAGGGAGATTTGGGAAAAGGGAGTGTACTCAGTGCTACTCACCTTTATTTTTTTATTTTTTATTTATTTTTATTTTTTTATTATCTAGGCTACCAGAGTGGCCCGGGGTCACTTGCCCGGCCGGGCCAAAAAAAACTAAAAACGTAAAAATAAAAAAAATATATTTTTAGAATTTATTTTGTATTATAAATTTGGTGAAGAATTTCGATGTGACCCTGAGGCAAATGTTGTTCAGTTTACTTTTCTGCATAATATAGGTTTATTTGCGGATTTTTTGGAATTTTTTTTTATTTTTTTTTTTTTGCTGGGACCTTCCCTGGTCCTTGCACGGGCTGCCCACCCGGGACCCGGGCGGCCCGGCTGGTAGTCTATTTTTTTTATTTTTTTTATTTTTTTTAAGCCGGGAACCGGAACCAGCGTTCCTTATATTTCAGAGAGAGCGATTCAGGATTTCAATTCCTATTCATCTGTCGCACAAACGAAGGCAGTCATCCCGTGCTGCCTCCACAGGATATAAGCCTGATGATATAAGGACTCGAAGCTGCTGTGCTCAAAAGGAATTTCATGGAGATTTGGGAACAGGGAGTACTCACCTTTTAGAACGATTCAGGATTTCAATTCCTATTCATCTACGAAGGCGGTCATCACGTGCTGCCTCCACGGGATATACACAATGACATCAGATGTGATGTGAGACTCTAGGCTTGGGACTACTCACCTTAAAATGACTCCTTTGTATAAATAAATAAATTAAAAAAAAAAAAAAAAAAAAACGACTCCTTAGATTGCAGGATTACCCTGGGAAATACTTCCAGGATTGCCGACATGGAAATTTTATCCAAAAGCGAGCGCCGACATGGGACCAAATGGGGGATTTTATTATTTTATTATTATTTTTTTTTAACGGCCAGGAGATCGGCAACATATACTGCGGTTGTAGTAAAAATGGAAACAGACAGAGGGGGAAAGCGAAAGGAAAAAAGAAATATGAACACCATTAACTTTTTTTCTTTTTTGTTTATACTTTATTAATAGGAAGAAAGATATATCCCAGTCACCCACCACCCGTTTCAATCTTTCTTGGTTTATATGATGAACATATATTTTTTAATAGTAATAAATAAATAAAAAAGAAAAAAGAAAATTTGAGAAGCGGCTTGTATGTATGATGAACTTTCATTACAATACACACTTTGGATGCAAAAAAAAAAAGCCAATCAAAATTGATGAAAATTTAAAAAAAAAACGCTAATTAAGAAGAAAAAAAAAAAACACAACATATTGAAAAAATATTTCCACTCGAAGACACCATTTCCGGGCAAACAGTCAGTAGTCTTGCCCCCCCAAAAAAAAAAAAAAAAAAAAAAAACGAGTATTGCCAAACTGATGGAGAGCCGTGTCCTTAGAAATCTTGGTCAGATTACATACACACTCAGTAATAAAACAAATTGTTAATTTTAATAATTTGTTAAACAATTTTATTTTATCACAATATATAATTATTATTATCACAATATATAATTATTATTATCACACCTAAAACGTGTTTTGCCCCCTACAGTGATCCCCTTTTTTTTTCGGGTGTGTTTTTCGTTTTGTATGCGATAATAATCATATATGCATATATAGTAGAACATATACGTAAAGTCCTAAGATTTATATAAAATTATAAATTAAAAAGATTACATATTGTCGAACAGAACAGAGGGAGCCAAGGATATAAAAAAACACCGAGATGTGCAGTCAATAACGTTCTTTTTTTTTTTTTTTTTTTTTTTTTATACCATATCAATTGTGACAATTATAATGACGTATATAAAAAAAAATATAATGACATAAGATCTAAAAATTTTTTTTTTTTTTTTTTTTTTTTTTTTTTTTTGGCCTCCGATGGCATTGTCACTCGCGTGATATTCTTTCCACGTATCTTGAATTTTTTACTATTTCGTACCGATTATTTTTTTAATTAATTAATTTATTTACAAAAAAAAAAAACGTTTTTTGTCAATTTTTTTTGGATAATCATAATTTTCAATTCTTGCCTTTTCATCGAGCATTGGCCACGACCTTCTTTCCCTCTTCCGCAATTCTCGCTCCACTGCCTCCGCATCAAGCATCCCGATCCCGACACGGCTGTCGCTTGTGCTGCCGCTGCCATCAGCAAGAACGGTCGCCCCCTCTTCGCCATCACGGACAACCTCCACTCCCTCCTCCGCCTCATCCCTCCTCCTCCTAATACCCTTACCATGACTATACTCCTCCTCCTCTCTTCTCCCTCCATCCTCCACCGCCGCCTCCTCCTCCCCCATCTCATTCTTCTCCTTCTTCTTCTTGGATTTCCAGAAGATAGCGGGAAGCCATTGTCCCAATCCAGGCATGAATAAGATCAGAAGAAGATCGAGATAAGATCAGGACCTTAAAAAAAAAAAAAAAAAAAAAAAAAAAAAAAAAGGGCAGAGAGACAAGGACGAATAGACCGCGAGAGAAAGAGGTGAAACCCTACTACGCAAGAGAGCGGGGGTCTGGAGGAGGGAGGAGGAGGAGGCAGAGGACGAAGGAAGGAGGAGGAAGAGGAGGAACAAGGACAAGAGGAGGCGGAAAACGAAGGACGAAGACGGAGGAAGAGGAGGAAGAGGAGAGGAAGAAGAGGAGGGAGAAAGAGTAGAAAGGAGAGGATGGAGGAGGGAGAGGGAGGAAAAAGGAGGAAGGAGGAGGAAGGAGGAGGAAGGAGGAGGAAGAGGAGGAAGGAGGAAGAAGGACAAGAGGCGGAAGACGAAGGACGAAGAGGGCGGCAAATGAGGAGCAGGAGGAACAGGAAGAACAGGAGGAAGAGAGGAGGAGGAGGAAGACGAGGGAGGAAGGGGAGGATGGAGAAGGAGGAAGGCGGAAGAGAAGAGGAAGAGGAGGAAGAAGCAAATGAGGAGGAAGGAAAGAACGAGAAGGAAGGGAGAAGGAAGAGGGAGGAGGAAGTAGAGGCCGGAAATAGAGCTAGAAGATGAACGACGCCATAGCCGACTGGGAGATGACGAACTGATGGTGCAAGTGGAAGAGAGAACGAGAAGAGAGAGCAAACGGCGAAAAGGAGGTGGGGGGGAAGGAGCGGGGACAAGAGAACGAAAGCAGAACAACGAGGGAGGCAGGAAGGATAAGAGAGAGAAAAGGGAAGCAGAAGAGGAAGAAGAGAAGAAAGGATGGAAAGAACTAGAAGGAGAGAAGTAGTAAGAGATAGACGAATGGCCCAAAACACTTGCTCTCTTCCGGCACTGGAAAAACTGCAAATTACGGCTCCTGCTTTCCCGCCAAGATTCCCGCCAAGAAACAGAGGCCTCCCTCAGCTATACACCACCTTCTCCTTCGATTGACATCGCCACAACCTTCACCCCACACGCCTGGTGTTCCAATCGCTGGGAGCACTCTCTCTCTCTCTCTCTCTCTCTCTCTCTCTCTCTCTCTCTCTCTCTCTCCCTGTGTGTGTGTGTGTGTGTGTGTGTGTGTGTGCGTGTGTGTGAGGAAAGCACCAGTGTGAAGTTGCCGTGCCGTTCGAGTCCCCTCTGTCTCCGTGGTCTGTCTGTGGGAGTCACCGCACTACCGAATAACTTATGGTCATCATCGCTGTATTTGGAGGGAAAGGTAGCCCAAATACAGATATAATGACCGTAAGTTGTATTTGGGTGAAGAAGGATACTCACCAAATTTGCGAAATGGGGGATGTATCTTTCCCCGAACATTCGGCCTGGCTCCACTACTCTCCACATGCATAAAAGACAAAAAAAAAAATTTTGGGGGGGCGGGGGCCAAGTCCCACTAACATGAGTTTGGTTTTGATTCCTATACCTGTGCGGCGCGGTGCGGCGGGGGGTGGCACCGTGTGACACTATTTCGAAGCTGCTGAAAACCGTGTAGAATTGCAAAAAGAAAAAAAAAAACAAAAAAAAAAAAACGTGTAGAAAGATCCTGCAATGATGACAATCTGCCAGGAGTTTCGTGAGTGCTCTTCTTTGGGCGTTGCTCCACCTCACCAAATGTGGAAAATGAGAATGTATTTTTCCCCCTACATGGAAAATACATCCCCATAGTTTTTGCCTTCCCTATAGGCCTCGCTGCACTACGCTAGACACATGAAAATTTTCAAGAGTTCTTCTAGCGCTGTCAGACTCCTGGGGCGTGGTCCCACTAGCAAGGAGGATCGGATAGAAATCCTGAATCTGGCCATGTTGTATGCAGAGATACAGAAGTGCAGTTCCATCTCGATTTCCTCGAACACGTCCAGATTCTGGCATTGGATCCGTCCCATCCTCTTTGCTAGTGGGACCTCGGCCCTGGATTCGCATCAGGTGCTGTCTTCGCTGCACTTCGGGCACCCTCACATTGGGTACCAAAACCGTAAAACTCCCAAAAAAATGTGCACACGGCTGGTCACACACAATGGTTCCAACCCCAAACACCCCATTCACGAACCCATTTGTCAGCTGCCTGCCGGGCCGCGGGTTTGAGGAATTCGCCGCAACCTCCAGGGGTTACGGCAAAATCCTTTTTTGAATCAATTTTTGTAAATGAATGCAAAGTTGAAAAGGAAGATTTACATGGTGTATCAATTGAAAAAGGGAAAAGGCAGAATTTGGGGTTACTTCTGTGTGAGTCAAAAACCCAAACAGCACCACCCAAACAGCACCACCCGGACGGCACGGTAGTGACGGTGTCTTTAGCGAAATGGGAGCGTGGTGTGACGGGAAACATCCCAAATACCCCAATTCGGCGGAACCCACTTTCACAATTTATACGGATTTGCGACCACAGTGTGAGAGTGCCCTTACTCCAGACTCTCGACTCTCGTGAGCGTTCTCTACTGTCGGACAGACACTACACGACAGGGCAGCAACGATTTGTCCACCGAGACCGGAGGCCCGTTGGCCTCGTTTGAAAAAAAACTCCTGCAGGCGGGAACTGTGGAAACTTCAAGAGCTCGTCCCATGGGCCATTTCTGACACCCCTTGAAGCGCTGGACCAACAGCAGTTTTCCACAGTTAGTGCAGCCATGACTCACTCTCTATGTTTTCGAGAGTGAATCTGACAGCTCTTGAATAGAAATCCAGGACGCAGCATCAAGAGTTAGTGCAGGGGTGGTGAACTCTTGTCAAGATTCAAGAGTAGTGCAGCGAGGCCCTATGTGTGGTGAGAAGCGCCAAAGGCTGTGGAGTAGACGTCCACGCACAAAGCATGTGCCTGTGCGCACACACACACACACACACACACACACACACACACACACACACAAAGCGCAGTGTTTTTTTTTCGTTCAGTTCCGGAATTGGAATTAATCGCTGGAGTAAAAGGATTGAGACACAGAGAGAGAGAGACAGACAGAGAGAGACAGACAGAGAGAGAGAGAGCCAGAGAGAGAGAGAGCCAGAGAGAGAGAGACAGAGAGAGAGAGCCAGAGAGAGAGAGACAGAGAGAGAGAGACAGAGAGAGAGAGACAGTGAGACACAGTTGCTGGCCAGTGAGAGGGTGAGAAAGCTCTGCCACAGTCCGATCCCTTTGCTATCTGCGGCTGAAAAGAGTGTCACCCACACCAACTGTCCTCGTTCCTATACTTTTTCTGACCGCTGGTGGAACTTGGCCCCGGGAGCAATCTAGTCCTTGGGGGAGTACACTCACACTAGGCCCTCAAAATCGCAAAACTGCAAAATGAGTGGCACTCACTCACACAATTGCAAAATGAGTGGCACTCACTCACACAATTGCAAAATGAGTGGCCAGATAGAGTCTTTCGTTTACAAGGACTCGATCTGGCCCCTCATTTTGCTATTTTGCTATTTTGCCATTTTGAGAGCCTAGTGAAAAATAAAAAAATAAATAAATGGCAATGTATCTTTCCATGTTCTAGCGGTGGATTCAGTCTCATTTTGCACACTTGGAGAATACTGGAGACAGGCCCATTGAAGACAAACACCTCTACCACTTCCCAGTTGCGCCCGGACCTCTGCCCTGATATGGGGTCGGACGAGTACAGTGGTCCTGTTTTTTGGGCTTGATCGATGATGTCTCGCCCCTCAAACAAGACCTCGCCCCTCAAACAAGACCGCGATCTCTTTGGGCCTCGCCACACCAGTATCAAAAACTAGTTTTTCGACATTTGTGAATAGCCACAGCAGTGTCGAAAACTAGTTTTTCGACATTTGTGCATAGCCACACCAGGTGTCTGAGCTTTTTTACTCCTGAATCTTCTCAACATGTGTCAGTGAAGAGTTTCCAACAAGGGTCGTTTCCAACTCGAAACCGCCCGCCTGCGGCAGGCCGAAACTCGAAACCACGAAAGGGAGCTTGTGAAAAAATGTGCGGATTTCAACATCCTTCACGACGCGGCCTCAACATCCCGTGCCTTCTTCTTCTTTGTTTCGTTTTTTTTTCCCTTTGTCCTGGGTCTGTCTCTTATACACATCTAGATGTGTATAAGAGCCCACCAATAGATGGAGCCTCCCCGGAGGTGCTAGATGTGTCTGCTCTTATCAGCACACCTAGCACCCGACCGGGTTTTTTGTGTAAAAAAAAAAAAAAAAAAAAAAAAAAAAGTGCGGATTTCCACATCGTTCAGGCTCCTTGGCCAACACAGGTGTGCGTGTGAGTGTGAGTGTGAGTGTGAGTGCGAGTGTGAGTGTGAGTGTGAGTGTGAGTGTGAGTGTGAGTGTGAGTGTCAGTGTGAGTGTCAGTGTGAGTGTCAGTGTGAGTCATGGTGTGAGTGGTTTGTGTGTGGTGTGTGGGCGAGTGCTGGCCTTAGCCCCTGCTGTTACTCGGTTGGGGGTGGGGGATGATGAAAAGAGAGGTGCAGCTGCTGGCCAAATGCTCGGTCTTTGCGTTAGCCGGACCCCCACCGCCGGACCCCCACCGCGGCCCCACAAGATTGGGGCGGGGGTCAACATGCATCCATTCTGATGGTTCGAGGGAGACAACAAAGCTATGTTTGCAGGGGTCCCCTGAATAAGCCTTGTGAGTAGTGGTTGGTAGGTAGTGATGGTGAATTCTAAGAAGTTGAAAGATGATGACAGATTTGAGAGAAGAATATAGTGGAGGTTTATAATATAAGAAAAAAGGAAAACAAATGTGTTATGTTTTTTGTCTTTTTCACACGTGGTGAGTGTGCCCCGACGCCTTCTCTGTGGGCCTGGCTCCCAATTTCACACGCGGCACCACTCACCATGTGAATTTGGGAATTTGGAGAGGGGGGATTTGTTTTTTTTTTTGGTGCCAATGTCAATCGAATAGATATTGTCGGAAAATGGGTCCCACATCCCTGACATATATATATATCGTCACAAACAGATATATATATATATATATAGGGTTCAGCCTCCTGATGAGTCAGTGAAACTCCGACGAAACAGTTTTTCACAGCCCCTCGTTTGTTGTCCTCTTCTCTCTCTCTGCCTACGGTTTACCGGGCAGTTCTGTTTGTGACGATATATA